TCAATCCATCTCCTTGAAGGCCTCCCCCTCTTTCGTCGACCCTCCACCCTACCAAGCATGACATCCCTCTCCAGGGAATGGTCCCTTCTTACAACATGACCAACATAGGTAAGAGGAAGTCTGGCCATTCTTGCTTCCAAGGAGCATTCTGGCTGCACTTCCTCCAGGAAGATGAGCCTGGAATATCTTATGTCAAAAGCAAGGACATGCTCCTGGAATGGGGAAGGGGACAGTAAAAGAACAGAAGCTAATTTGAAAAGCCTCCTGCTGGACAAACTGGGTCAATCTGAGTATTAAACAAGGGACAGGTGTGGATTGTAGCAACTGACTAAAGCAGGAAACCATGAGACACACTGACCCAGTAAATCAGTAACTGGAAAGTTGGATGTGAGACTGGGTATTGTCATTGCAAACCACTGCCTCACCAGATCCTTATCAACTATGAAGGGGAAAGAGGGGCTTTCCCATGGAGAAGGCTGGCAGACAGCACCTGACTCAGCAGACATAGTGGACACCTTCGTACAGGACACGGGTGTGGGGAGGCCATACTCAGGAAGGGAGGCTGAACATGTCAGGGCTGCAGTAAGTTCAGGACACTCAAGTCTGACCTCCCAGGAGAGAGGATGACACCTCCAAGAAAGGGAGCGGCCCAAGGCAGAGCCCAGAAGACAGCTGAGTCCACATATGGGTCAGGAGCCAAAGGCTAAGTTCTTGCTCTAGGGGTCGTCTCTGGCTTTTGCTCCCATGGGAGCTAGGGCTGGCTGGAAAGGCTTCTCTCCGTTAGTGTAAGCCAGTACTATGACTGGAATGTAGGGCTGGGGCTGTGGACCAACTGTGGCTTTTCAGGGGTCCAATGAATGCAAAGCTGCTTATCACCTAGCACAGAGCTGATCAGGGGTGACCTGTGGTGTGAACCTGTTAAAATTATTTATTGTGAACCCCCCAAAACACCAAATTCATTGCCATTGAGTCAATTCTGACTCATAGTAACCCTATGTTGTTGTTGTTATATGCCATCAAGTTGGACTCGACTCATAGTGACCCCTCCTTGGGTTTCCAAGGGAAGTATCACCACCCTATAGGATATAGTAAAACCACCCCGCAGTTTCCAAGGTTGTAGTCCTGACAGAAGCAGATTGCCACATCTTTGTCCCACAGACTAGTTTGTCCCACAACTAGTTTCAAACCACTGATCTTGCAATTATCAGCTGAGCATTTAACCACTGTACTATCAGGGTACCCTTTATGACTCAGAGACTACTCTTAAAGAACAGGTCGCTGCCATGCACACATCACTGTCTTGTGTTCTGAGATGTCTCCTTATTGGCTGTTTCTGACATCACACGTCTGGTGCTCATGGCAGCGTGCTCCCTCACAGGACAGCTGGGGGTCAGCAGGATGGGGTGTGAAGAACATAGGAATGCTTATAAGCAACATCGCGTCCCCACAGCTCCATCTCTGAGCTGACACCAGCAGTTTGTGTGGGCTTGGTTGTAAGTCACTCGGGAAAGAGAAGTGTGAACTGAGAACAGCAGAGGGCCCTGGGCCAGCTCTTCCTTCTCCTTGCAGCAGGGGGCTGCCCCACTGAGATGATGGGGCTCGGTTCTGTTCTGACCTCTCTCTGCACCTGTGCCACCACCTACATTGCAGACGAAGCACAGATGACCAAATCATTAGGCCCATGGCAGGACTACATATACTCATTACCTATCTTCCTTATAACTTGAACTCTCAGGTGAGGGGCTCCTCACACCTCACTTCACCCCAACCCACTGCACTGCACAAGAGAGGGGTCCATGACTCTTATCACAACAGTGGGAACACGCCACCTCCCTCATGGCACCCAGCGAATATGGCTTTTAAGGAATAGTCGTGAAGCTGCCTAATAGGTGCAAGAAACTGGGGAGAGCCTGTCAACTGAGGAATGGATAAACAGTGGTACATACACACAACGGAATTATTATGCAACCCTAAATAATGTAGAATCTGCAAAATACCACATAATGTGGATGAACTTGGAGGACATTATGCTGAGTGACACAAGTCAATCACAAAACAAATATTGTATATTAGTCTGCTACTGTAAAGTCAAGGAAAGGTTTATACATGGAAGGCAACCTGGAGAGGTTGGGAGAGGAGGGAAAATTTCTAGATAGGTTGAAAAAAAATGTATATATTAAACCAAAGATTATTAGCAGTTACCAGGGATAGGAGGGAGGGGGAAAGGGGAAACTTTTGTTTGGGGGGCACTGAATTTATATTAATAGGTGATAGTGAAAAAGGGCAGCAATAATGGTGGCACAGAATGAAAAAAGTAATCAATGTTCCTGAATTGTAAATGTGGAAGTGTTGTTTTGGCAAATGTCTTATATATGTTTTCACAGTAAAAGTTAAAAAAAAAAAAAAAAAAAAACTGAGGACAGAAGGGGCGGGGCCAAAGAAGCAGACTATCTGTCTACAAGCAACAGGCAGGGTTACTCTAGAAACTTAGAAGGAATTTTTGTTGTTGTTGAACAACATTCACTGTAAAAAGTTACACAGAAGTTCATCAAGCAGAAAGTAAGCACGACACTGCCCAGACAACTCATTAACACTGTGGAGTCTCCTCTCCCAGATTCCTTTTGGACACATGTAAGTACACTTTTTCAAAGAAAAAAAAAAAAAAAAAGATGTGAAATATAAACACTGTTCAGGAACCTGTGCCTGTCATTTTCACACTACTGGCAATTCTTCTATGTAAAGACACCAGAACCAGTACTTCTTTTTGAGAACTGCCTGTCACTTTATTTCATGGGTGCCCCACAGGCACATAACCAATTCCCTACAGTGGGCCCAATGGCCTGGCAGTGACCTCTAAGTCTTGGAAGCTGGAGTTCCCAAACTGAGGCCATCAAGCTGCAGCCGGTGGCTTTATCAGGGAAGGAAATGGTTTTCCAGGACACAGGCCCTCCAAGAGGGTGCATTCCCTTCTTGGTCCTGACCCTTCCTTGCCCCTGTGATAAGTTAAGGCATCATTTGGTATTCAGTATACCTGGCTACACCACCTCCTATCTGTCCTGGGGCAGGCAGGCATCACTCCTTGTTCTCCTGGATCCGTTTCTTTTTCTTCTTTGATTCCTGGAACTCAGCCCCACCCACCACTTTGGCCCTGGCACCAGGCTTTCCCCTCCTCCTGCTGCGAGCCCCTGGTCTGCCACGGCCCCTGCTCTGGTCTCGAGGCATGCCCCCCTCAGGCTGCACATCAGGGTCGGTCCTCTTGCCCTTTCTCTTCCTCTTCCTCCCCTCAGATCTGGACCTCGGAGCTGGACTCAGGTCTTCTTTCCTACCTTTCCCTGTAAAACAGCAAGGAAGTGGGAACAGGGTAGTGAGCACAAGGGCAGACTTCTGCAAGCGAAGGTGTCAGCACAGGGAGCTCAGAAGAGAATGCAGTCACCACTCTAGAGCGGATATGGCCTCGGGACACATGGAGTCTCACTGATGCCACACTCGCTAACCCAGGGCTTGATGAATCACCACCTCAGGTAACAGGGGATGTCAAGTGCTACATGCCATCACGCAGGTGCAAAATCAATAATGGCTCTAGACACAGGTGGTGGACTGGGGAAGATGGGCCTTCCAAAAGACTACCACAAGAACAGTTAGAGAGAACAGAGGGGAGCAAGGCATGAAGTGTGAATGGCCTGATTCCAGTACACGTGTGATGACATCAGTCAGAGATCAGATTCAAAAAGCCATGGCAAGTGGCTCTAACCCCGTTGCCACATGCACACAACATGAGGACAGCCCTCAGAGAGACTCTCATGGCACAGGTGCACGAGCTGCCCAAGAGCACAAAGGCTGGCCAGGTGTGAAACCATACCACCACCATGGAGGAAGGCAGTCCCAGCCAGAGAGATGAACCCACAACTCTTCAGAGAAGGGCTTCCCAGGACTGGCCTAATATATACAGGAGGACCATGAAAGAGTCTCGCTTGGAGGAGGCAAGACTTACTTCTCCACACCCTGAACCAACCCCAGGTGCCACTGCTGCCCTTCCATGACTTTGGGGCACAGCCTAGGCCCACCACAGCAGCAGCCTGTATGCTGCAGAGTCTGTGGTGGATGTAGGCCTGGGTGGCAAAGTACCCAAAAGCTGAAGGAGAGGTCCACTCTTAATCACTCACAAGGCCAGAGATGAAGAGGGCAAAGGGACTGCGGACACTGAAGGAAGAGGACAGAGAACATGTGAGAGGGGCTCAAACTGGGGAGACACAAAGGCCAAAAGAGAGGCCACCAATTGGAAACAGCCACAGTAGATTGAACAGGGTAGTATCAGCAGACAACACAAGCTATGGAGAGGCCCAAGGGCCAGATGACCTATGGCAGAGCCGAAAGCCCCACATGGGGCTCTGTGGCTGCAGGACACAGCCCAAGGCCACAGCTTGAGAGAGAAGAACAAGGCACACACAGGGAAGCAAGGGCAGTGGGGAAGGCCTTGAAGAGACAGGCGTCACATGAAATCAGCACCTCACATGCATCATAAATACCTTAGGTCCTACCTTTCTTTTTCTGCAACTGGGATTTGAGCAAACACTTCTTCATCTTCCTCTGCAGTCTCCCTTCATGCTGATAGGCATAGACTTTCTCAGGGACGTCATCCTCAGGGAAGATGCCTGGGGAACCGAGGTAGGTCATGGGGGCATCCCAAAAGCAGGGCACTAAGACCTTTAATTTGTGCATTCACTGCTTCCAGCAGGGACCAGGTGCACTCTTACCCATACTTCATTTAAGAAAGGGCCCTCTTCTGGTACCCCGAACAATACTAACACCTCACAGCTGAGATGAGCCAGCTCAAACTGCACTCCCTGCAGAAGCCCTACCACACCTGGGAGAGCTGGTTCCAGAGCACTAACAACACATCACAGACTTTACCTGGGGAGGGGCATGTGGGCAGTGGGATATGGACATATTCTAGACCCTGGCGGGCTGGGGTCACAGATGTGCACTAGGACTCAAGCAGGTCGCTTCATGTAAGCTTTACCTGGAACATGCTGGACCCCAGTTCACAACATGCACACTGAAATGTCAAAGAGCAATGTACTGATGTCTGCAATTCACTCTGAATGCATCAGAATGAGATGGTCTAAGGATCAACAGACAGACGTGTGATAAAACAGAAGCATATGGTGGAATCTAGGTGGTGGATATACAGGCATTCACTGCAAAAACCTCTTCAACTTCGCTGTATGTTTAAAGTGTCATGAAAAAACTCGACCATCAACCTCCTGGGAAACCGTCCTTGAGAAGAATCCATAGAGTTCCATGAGCCCCACATGAGCATGCAAACACCATCCCTCAGTCCCTTAAGGGAGGCCCCAGCCCCACCTCCCAGGGGCTCCCACTCACACTGACTCCCACTCACATGCTCCTCTTAAGCAGAGACCCAACAGGGCCCCAGAGCCTCACCTCCATGTCAGCCTGGCAAGTGCCAGAGCACCCCTGCTCTCGTGCCTGCCTCAGCTTGTCTGAGAAACGCTGAGCTAAAACTAGTACCACAAGAGTACAGACTCCCTTGGCCCATGCCACCAGCCCTCTTCACAAACAATATTTGTGCTGGAGAACTAATACACAGGAGCCCCACTCCCCAGAAATGAAACTCCTGATGGAGGCAGCCACCTACATGCACAGCCCTGTCCTCACCTGCAGAGAGGTCCTGCAGCCTGGAAGAGAAGAGAAGGCATCAGTCAAAACAGCTAGGGGAATCTGGAGGGGAAGGCAGCCACACCCCAGAAGGCAGTGACACAGCTTCCTGATAGGTGGCACTCAGAATCCCTAAGTCTAGAGACCCCAGAGGCGGTTTGATCTCTGAGGCTGGGCACTGTCAAAAGCAGCCCTGTACACCTCAGCCCAGGAAAGCCACTTCCAAAGGGCTGCAGGCAACACAAAAACATCAATGTGTAGGCAATCAAAGAGCAGAGAGAGGGCAGTGCCAGCACTTTTTGGGAAATACTTACTTCCGGATCAATTTGTAGAGACGCTTTCTGTTCAGAGAAGGAGTGTTCGGTTCACTGGCCATTTCAAAGAGTCTGTTAGCAACTGCCTCATAGTCAAACTGTTTCAAAGGAGAGATATCATGTAGGCCACTGATCAACTACCTTCCTCCTGAGACACTGAACAACTCTGAAAGCACCTAGACCCCATGCAGATGTGCCACCTGCCTCACCACAGCACAAAGAACCAGTATCATCCCATTTCCACTCAGCATGCCTATTCTGGTTACCTAGTACAGCTGACAGGAATATACCACAAATGGGATGGCTTTAAAAAACAGGAGTTTGTTCTCTTACAGTTTGGAGGCTTAAAGTCCGAGTTCAAAGTGCCAGGCTCAACGGGCTGGGTGAAAGCCCCTCAACCCTGGGCTTCAGCTCTGCCTCCTGCTCCCAGCCCACTGGAGCTAGAGGCTTTTCTTCACTCAGACAGCTACTGGCTGCTGAGACTGACAAGCCCAAGGTTAACAAGTAAAAAGGCACAGTCCCGATGTTACCAAACCACATGGTAGGCCATTAATTCAAGTCCATGGAAAGTCCCAAGGTCAGCAGAGCATGGCAGGCTAATGAACGACAGGGCTACATGCAGGGTTCAAGCGTGCCATAAACTAGAGACCATTCCCCAAGCCTTCTCCTTATATACAGGAAAGAGACCACTTACCCAAAGCAGTTACTCAGCTGCTCCAATAGATTCCACCATGGTGTTAATTACCAGTCTCATCATGGGGAATAACTACATTCAGCTGCCCAGCCACTCAACCAGGCCCAGCCAAGTTGACACACAAATTTAACCACCACACCACCTATCCACTGGAGACCAGGCACCAGACACGCTTGGGGCAACAGGACAAGAGCCAAGAAGGTGGCCTTGCCTGTGAGTCTGCACTCTCAGCAGCTAAATTCAACCAATAACAACAAAAATAATAATAAAAACAAGTAAGATAGGAAAGGACACAGGGAGGAAGTGGGAAGAGAGTGGTTACGTTGTGGCGATTGCACTCAATGTCATGAACAATATGTGCACGAACTGCTGTATACAAAATGAATCAACTCTGTAAACTTTCAACCAAATCACATTAAAAAACAAAAATGTAAGAAGCTCCTGGAGCATTTTCTGGTACTATGGCGGTGATGTTTGTGTGTCAACTTGGTGAGACCTGGTTGAGTGGCTGGGCAGCTGGATATAGTTAATCCCCATGATGAGACTGGCAATCAACTCCATGGTGGGATCTACCACAAGCAGCTGAGTAGCTGCCTTTGGGTATGTGGTCTGCTTCCTGTATATATGCAGAAGCTTTGAGAATGGTCTCTAGCCTATAGCACGCTTGGGCCTTGCATGTAGCTGTGTCGTTGCTCAGCAGCCTGCTATGCTCTGCCGACCTTGGGACTTACAATGGACTTAAGTTAATGGCCTGCTGTGGGGTTTGGTAACAGCGGGACTGTGCCTTTTTACTTGTCAACCTTAGGGCTTCTCAGCCTCAGCAGCCTGCACTGTCTGAGTGAAGAAACGCCTCTAGCGTTTCTAGTGGGCTGGGAGCAGGAGGCAGAGCTGGACCCCAAGGTTGAGGGGCTTTCACCCAGCCCCTAGAGCCTGGCACTTTGCACATGGACTTAAAGCCTCCAAATTGTAAGAATAAACTCCTGTTTGTTAAGGCCATCACATTTGTGGTATATTCTTGTCAGAGTGGCACTGGGTAACCAGAACAGGTACCAAGTCTTAGAAATTCAATGTGTATTTTCTGCTATGAAAAGTATGGACAGCCTACAGAAACTAAACATTTGAGGATATAGAGAAGAACTATTGGCTGCCAGATGGACCCACCCACGTCCCAGTCTGCCTAAAGCCGTGGACCTGCTTCCTGAGGACATGAAGCACCTCACCCAAAGGAGGAGGACGGGACCATAAGGAAGCAGGGCTCAAGGAACCTGTGCTCCCCCAAGTGAGCCTGTCATTTAGGTCAGCATCTCTGAGAAACACTGACATCCCCTTCCTGTGGTGCTGCCTCCCATCCCCGGCCCTATAACGGTGCAGGAGGACAAAGTCTCAGACCTCAGCCCACCTACCTGCAACACGGCACCAGCACCGTCCCCATCGTCTTCTGCCAGCTCCACTCCAGGCTTAGGTTGAGGCTTATGGATGGAGCCTGGAACAAAAAAGACCCCATGAATTCTAATATCCACACGTAGTGTGTATGGGCCCAGGCTGGCCCCCGGAGTTGGGGGAGCCAGCACAAGCACCTGTTAGCCAGGACTTGCAGCCTTGTCAGAGCATGGGCACAGAGTAAAGTGGCATCAACAGCTGGAGCTACAGCCCAAGGTGGTACCCAGTGGCCTCCCATGTGCCAAGATGCAGGAGGATGAGGGGAGGGAACTCCCAGAGGGAGTGAGCAAGGCAGCCAAGTGCAGCCATGGGGTTGGCCTGCATCAGGCCTTTGGGGAAGAATGCTTACAGGGGTCTGTCAGGGAAAGCCAGAGAAGGAACAAGGACTATGATGAACAAATCATTATGCAGCATACCAGGAAGGAACCTACACTGTGAGGACACCAAACCAAGCAGGTCTCATCAGAGGGATGAGATGCTGCACTTTTAAACAGGGAATCAGGGTGCACCCTATGAGAGTGACAGGTGAGCAGAGACTAAGAAGAGAGGAAAGAACCAGGCAGATACCTGGAGAGAGACCCCAGGTGGAAGGGGCAGAAGCACATCTGTGTAGGGGGCAAAGGGAATGGTGTATCAGCACAGAGAGGCGCACAAAGGAGTGGAGAGTGAAGGGATACATGTGCCTACGATTTAAAGACGACTCTAGCTGCCATGTTGAGAAGAGACTCTGGGAGCAAGGGCAGACACAGGGGGCCAGAAAGTAGGCAGCTGCAGTGATGTGACTGTCTGACACTGGCTCAGCCAAGATGGGGCAATCAAGAGGGACCAGCAGATGCGAGTACACCCTGATGTGTGAAGCCCCACCTTTCAGCTGCATCTCAGCTGGTTTCACAGTAGGCACATCTAGTTCATCCTTTTTCTCCTCCTCCTCCATCTCCTCTAAATCATTCTCCTCTAAGTCATCTTCTTCTGACAGCTCCTCCTCCTTATCATCCCCCTCTTCTTCTTCATCCAGTTCATTCATTAGATCTTCAATGGCGAATGGGGCCTGTTCCACAATCGTCTCAAAGATTCCACGAGCTATGTTATGCAGATCCCGGGGGCTGAAAGGGTGAGAAGGGCAAGAAAGCAGGCAGGTCAGAATGAGTGTCAAACAGAAGAAAAAGACTCATTCGACCCCCCCTCCCTCCATCCCAGCAGCCTCCTTGGTAATTCTGTCACAGGTACAGTCAATATAGTTCATCTTCTCCCTAAAGAAGATGGCAGTTCTGGAAAGGCTGTCACCATGAAGAACTTGGTGAAAAAGAAGCCAGCCCAACAGAGCCACCAGTTACTTACTCTGTGGTCCTTGCAGCAATTTGGCAGAAGGGGTCAATGAACCTGAGATTCTGGTCTGCAGTAAGCTGCAGGGAAAGGAAACGAGGGCTTCAGCTCCTGTTTATGAATATCAGGTGATGAACCTGACCCCAGCCTGGCCCTCACACCACCCCCGCTAGTCCACACCAGATGATAAGTCTCTAGGCCCCACCCCAATCCCAGACTCCCTAACTTCACACCAGGTAATAAGCCAGCTGCCTAACCCCAGCCCAAAGCCAGCCTCCCTGAGTTAACACCAGATGACAAGCCTGCTATCACCTGGCCTACTGCCTGCTTGACACCAGCTCCAGCCATCCTCACCTCCTTTGCGCCCACTTTGGCCAGCTCCTCCAGGAATATCTCAGTGAAGTGGCTCTTCACCCCATGGGGGGCCTGGCTGTCAGGATGCAGGATCTCGGTCATCAGCAGCTTCAGCAACTGCTCACTCTGACTGAGGAGAGAAAAGGCAAATGTGACAGATCCAACAAGAGCTCTAAAGACCAGTATGGATGGAATGGCCTAGATGCCTGTGAAAGCCTGGGGTGTTGGTAACAATATGGATCCCTATGCCCTGAACCCAACAGCCATTCCTCGGAAAGAAGACTGGGCAATCTACTTCCATAGTGATACTGCCTTGGAAACCCAAGGAGGAGTCACTATGAGTCAGGTCTGACTCGATGGCACATAATAACAACAACAACATGCCCTGAACTTACAGACCCATCTTCTTTAAGAAGTTCCCTAGATGCTGTAGGTGCACAGCACAGTTGAGAAGAATCTGTTCCATGAAGGTGGTGCTCTATGCAGCTTCAGGGAAAACAAGAGCAGGTCCAAAACCCAGAGGAAGATACCTAGATGCCAGTGGCCTACTCCAAGTGCTAGCGTTAACCTGACCAAACGCTTCAAAACAAGAACACCCTGTGTGTGTGTGTGTGTGTGTGTGAGAGAGAGAGAGAGAGAGAATGAAGACAAAAGCCCTAAGTGCAGGTCACACTATTAGCAGTGGATACCCCAGGACAGTGGAGAGATAGTATACCACCTTCTCCATGATAATCTTTGCACTGAATCACTACTAAAAATGAGAATGGAATTACTTTTATAATAATAGTAATAAAGTTAACCAAAATAAAACAGGCCCTTTAACACTGAATTCCATTAAAGTCACGGGATACCCACTGGGTGAACGTCAATACAGACTCCTATGATGAGTGGGAGTTGCGTGGCATCAGAGCCATCCCTGGGGATGTAGTGACAATCACTGACAGCCACTTGAGGCATTCTTGTCCTAATTGAGAAATGTAAAATCATCTATCATTACTCAGAGCACAGAACCACAATGTGGACCACAGTAAAATTCAGGGAGTTACACTCCAACTTCTGCCAATTCTTTTTTTTAGCAGGGGGAAGGAGGTAGGCCAGAAGAAAGAATGTGTTAAATTTGTTATCTATAAAAGCTTGGGCCATAAACTTTACTCTCTTGTCTGGGAGCTGTTTTGATATCTGAGTACTAGTCTTAGTATTCATATACTTAAGGGGAAAAAAAAGAACTCTTTAACACACACATTTTTGTTTAATTACAAATCAATTAAAAATATATTCTTCTAAGCTGAGATCTCTCCCCCCTGCCAAAAGAAAAGATCATGGAGCAGAAGGACAAAGAGAGGATGTTTTAGAAGTATCATCAGTAAGATAAAAAGGCAGTCTGCAAAACAGCATATTTCAAACGGTGTCATTTTTGTACACATAGAAACATGCTGTAGCACTGGTATGAGACAACATTTTGTTGAAAGTGCTTATCTCTACTGCTCAAAATTACTTTCTGATTTCTATACAAGTTTTCCTGTTTTCTATACTGAGAATACATCACTCTGATAATTACAAAAAACTGTTAAGTAAAAATTTAAAAACTAAACTGCATTTCATGGAATCCAAACTTTCTGGAATCACGGAGGCTGGATAAACCCTGAAACTACTGCCCTGAGATAATCTTTAAATTTTATCCAAATAGATTCCCTGAAGTCTCCTTAAAACCAAATAATAGCTTAGCTTAATTAGTAAAGATTATCTGTCTTGAGCATTATATTCTGTTAATAATTATCTATATGGGATCAAATTGACAAGAGCAACTTGAAAGATTAGACAGGAACCTCAGGGGGCAGTGAGTTTATATTAATGGGGAGCAACAACTCGGAAAAGGTGAGAATGGTTGTACAACTCAAAGAATGTAATCAATGTCACTAAATTGTACATCTAAGAAAGCGCTGAATTGGTGTACATTTTGCTTTGAATAGTCTCAACAATAACAACAAAAATAAATTATTTAAAAAAATAAACTACTTTTTAAAGTTAACTTTAAAGAAATTATAAATGTTAAACACTCAGACACCCACTCTGGAGGGTGGAATTCAGACTGCCCTCAGCAGGTTTGGAAGCCCACTGACTGATCTGTTATAGATGTAAATGCCTCGAATGATCCAGAGAGGCAGGTCCAGACAGAAGAGCCCCCAATCCATCCCCAACTTTCTCCTTGGGTCTCAAGTGGAGTCTGGGACCAGGAGCTGCTAAGCCCTGACAGTGTCCAGCCACACCTGCAGGGACAGCACTCCTCCCTGTGCTCAGAACTTGCGAAACCTGAACTGAGACAGAAACCAAAGGATGGCTCCTGGCCTAGTGGACATGAACACCCACCATAAGCACTGCAGTTGAAAGGGAAATGGCAGGAAAATGTAAGTGCTTCTACATCTGGCAGCAATTACCATTAATTGCAGAATACCTCAAGTTTTTATTAAAAAAAAAAAACATACCACTGAGCTGTTCACCCTTTCTAAGCAGAGGGTGCAAATTCTAATGCACAGTAAAAACTTATTAAGGTTGAAAATAAGGAGCATCACTCCCATGAACAGGTGGACAACTTGCAATTTAAAAACACCTGCATTTCAAGCACCATCAGGGGTCCTCCTTTAATGCAATGCTACCATCTCTATATGACAAATAGAAGAGAAACCCTGACTCCTGTCTCCCAGGTAGCAGGGAGGGTAAAGTGTGTGTGGCTGTAACATGACAAGTAGCCCTATCCCTCAGCTGCTGTGTACACTGACCTTTCCTCCCAGTCACGCATCTGTAGGGCCTTCAAGGATTCGTTCAGGACCATGCGCATGAGCTATGGGACAAAAGAAGATTCTCATTAGCAGAACAATACAGGCCTCACCAAACACCCCTGGCCCCTGTTTACCAGGTGTGACTGGATACACAGCCGCAGCCTGTCATCTCTGCATGCCTGAGCACACAGCAGGCCCTTGAGAGTGCTGATTGGACTGACACTGTCAGACACAACACTGTCGGACACATTGCCCTGCCTGTGTCTGGAAAATGTACTGCACCCTGAATCAAAATACCCAACTCTTCCAAGAGCAGCAGAAAGTCAAGTCCACAGTGAATGAATTACAGCATCACAATCCCCAGCTTGGACAACGTGGCCCCATCTCAGAAGTGAGGACAGAGAGGGAGCACGGGTGCCTCGTGAAATGCAGGGCCCTTGGCACAGGCAGATGTGATCATCATGGTGGCTTTCAAACATCCCGGGACTCCTCCCCGACAACAAGAGCCTTGTTTACCATCTCTGGCCCACCATGCAGTGAAGGCTCTCTCCCAAGCCTGAGAACTGAAACCAAGCTCCAGTGGGAAAATAATGCCAGTCCCACAATTCCCCTACCCCCCCCTTCATAATGGTTAGAAGAGTAGAAGGGGAATAGAGAGGTACACAAGACGTACAGACAACAAAGATAAACCCTTTTACATATACAATACTGCATTGTCAGTGACAATAAACATTAATCTACGGGTAAACAGGTAGGCTGAATGATCAGGTATGTCTAGGCCACAAGGAACATACCCATGACCATACATAAGGTTGGCCCACAGGGGAGTCTAAGTCACGATAAAATCAGCACAGGCCATGCTGGCTCCAAAGAGCCTATGGTCACAGGGCCTGCCCAGGCCACTGCTCCTGGGGACACCAGAGGCCAGTTGTACATTACGCCCCACAGAGCCGCTGAGAGGGTCAGTGAGATGTAGTCACACAATGGGAAAAAGTGACCTTAAAATCAACAGAACTCATGCATAAAACCAAAACCAAAAACCAAACTCACTGCCCTCAAGTCGGATCTGACTCATAGCGACCCTTCCTTGGGTTTCTGAGGCAGTTATCACTAAGAAAGTAGATTGCCCAATCTTCCTTATGAGAAATTGCTGGTGGGTTTGAACCCCCAGCCTTCTGGTTAGTCAAATACCTTAGGCACTACACCACTAGAGCTCCTCACTGCATAAAACAGCCTAGAAATTACCCCTCAGGTAATCAGAGTGTTGACTCTGCCTAAGAACTTGTTTACTGTATAAATCTGAATTTTGTAAAAGCACAGATGCCTGATTCTAGCCTCCTGTTCTGGTTACCTAGTACTGCTCTGACAAGAATATACCACAAGTGGGATGGCCTCCACAAACAGTTTATTCTTACAATTTGGAGGCTTTAAGTCCAGGTCCAAAGTGCCAGGCTCTAGGGGCTGGGTGAAAGCCCCTCTACCTTGGAATACAGCTCTGCCTCCTGTTCCCGTCCCACTGGAGCTAGAGGCATTTCTTCACGCAGACAGCTGCAGGCTGCTAAGGCTGCGAAGCCCAAGGTTGACAAGTAAAAAGGTACAGTCCCGATATTACCAAACCACAAGACAGGCCATTAACTTAAGTCCATTGTAAGTCCCAGGGTCGGCAGAGCACAGCAGGCTGCTGAGCAGCTACACAGCTACAAGCAGGGTCCAAGCATGCCATAGGTTCAAGACCATTCCCAAAGGTTCTCCTTATATACAGGAAGCAGACCACATCCCAAAGGCTGCTTATGGTAGATCCCACCATGGAGTTGATTGCCAGTCTCATTATGGGGAATAACTACCAGCAGCTGCCCAGCCATTCAACCAGGCCCAGCCAAGTTGACACACAAACTGAACTACCACACCTCCCTCACCCAGTACTTAAGAGTTCCTTCATTCTCCCTGCTTGAGCTATCTAATCAGGGGTCCTTACTGTAAGACTATCTCACACACACAGCAACCATGTAATCTTGGCCTGGGTCTGTGCTGGACATTAAGGTGGACAAGATGATCAGAAAATAACCACATTCAAGGGCTCTGACCATAGTGACAGCAGGACACTGTCCTGCCAGGTGTCCCCTTAGATCACCTACTCTTGGACAGCAACAATGTGTCTTCACCTCCGGAGGTGCCTCCAAGCCATAGTAAATACCACCCAAACAAGATGGCAGTATAATAGGAAAATGGGGGAGGTGGCCAAGTAGCAAACTGTTGCTCTATAATATTCAATCTTCTTGCTGTATTTCACAAGGAAAATTGCTAACCTAAATCCACAGGAATATAATATAGAATGTAACATAATTATATTTACCCCTGCCTAAACCAAACCCACTGCCATCGAGATGATTCTGACTCATAGCAACACTCTAGGACAGGGTAGAACTGCCTCACAGGGTTTCCAAGGCTGTAAATCTTTACAGAAGCTGACTGAGTCATCTTTCTACCATGAAGCAGCTGGTGGATTTGAATTGACTTTTCAATTAGAGGCCAAATGCTTTAACTACAGCACCACCAGAGCTGCTCCATCCCTACCTGAAAAAAACAAATGATCTTTTTACCACTTTTTTTAAAAAAATTGTGATTTGGGTGAAAGTTTACAGAACAAATTCATTTTCCATGAATATAGCTCTCTTCTCACTTCCTCCCTGTAGTTACCTCTTCCCTGCCTCCTTTCCTATGTATTCCCACCCCTCGAAGCTGTCTCCCTGTGCAAACACTGCCATTCTATTCTGCCATGATTGATCACCCTAAGGAGTGTATCTACCTGATGTAAATGTTTACCCCATATGCCTATCTACTGTTTGGCTGGAAGCCGTAGGAGTGAGTTCAGTTCGAGACCTGAAGGGTAACTAGGGGCCATAGTTTCAGGGGTCTCACCCAGCTCTATCAGACCAGTAAACCTGGTCTTTTATTTTTTTTAAATGATTTTGAGTTTTGTTCCATATTGTTCTCCCACTCTATCCAGGATCTCCTGCACTGATCCCCCCCCCCAGAGTGGTTATAGTGGTAGCCAGGTACCATCTAGTTCTTCTGGTCTCATGGTCATATAGGCTGAGGATCACATGGTCTACCAGTCCCTTGGACTAATTGTTTCCATGCATCTTTAATTTTCTTCATTCTTCTTTGCTCTGGACAAGGAGAGACCCATCGTTGCATGCAGATGGCCACCTGCAAGCTTTTAAGATCCCAGTCGCTACTTATCAAAGTAGGATGTAGAACAATGTTTTTATGTAGTATGTTTTGCCAATTGAGCTTAACGTCCCCTGCAACCATGGTCACAAGCCCACAGATCCAACTACTCACTCCCTCAGGGTGAGTGGCTGTGACAAAGAAGTTACCAACTTTGCCTCTTGTTGGCTATTACATATTTGGACACTCTTATAGCACATACAAATACGTATGTAGAAGTATCATCTGCCAACCTTATATATGGTCATGGATGTATTCCCTTTTCCCTAGACACACTTGATTGTTCAACTTGTCTACCCTTCTATTTACCTGTAGCTTTATGTGTGAAAAACAAAATTATCTTAACATACCCAGCATCCAGCCAGCAGGCCACAGTGACTTGCAGTAAGAACACAGCCTCGCTGAGCTAATGAATGTTTAGGGGGCTTGAACAGCTTCAACAGCAGGGCAGTACTGGCTTTGTGATTAAATTTTCACCCATTTAAAATCTCGTTCTCTGAATGGAAGTTTGTATAGGGTCTTAAGATCTGAGAACTAGGCAAGAATCCTTTGCCCATTAGTAACCCTAAGACAGGGCAAATATTGCAAAATACCAGGCAAATGTGTCTCCAACAAGGTTCTGTCATTTCCCCAACCCCTACAGATCACACCACCGCAGGGCCACCTTGCTTCCCACAGGAGCCTTTACCCCTGTGGGAAGGGGCGGGGCTGAGGGGGGCTCAGAGGCCAGACCACTGCTACAAAGAGCCCAGGGCCCTTCCCACTCTGCTCCACTGCGCAACAGTAGGATGCTGGACACTTAGAAGAAGCTGGAGAAGGAGCTGCAGGCAGCTTCTTACCAGGTAGAACTTGTCCAGGCGCAGCCTGTCAATCCCCGTCCACTCACGATTCATAGTTTGCCAAAACGTCTGAAGGAACAGGTGCTCTAAGAGGAAAAGGGACCTAATGAACACCAGAAAACAATGACTGCAGGATATACGCAAAGGCAAGACAATAGAAACCTTGAGTGCAGTACTAGCCCCAAAGTGTGCTGAGAAGCAGTGCTATACACGTGACTTACAAAGGAGCAACTTGGGGGCCTCCGAAAGCGAAGTGTACAATACAAAGTGTATAAACTCCAGCCTCACTGTTCAGGGCACAGGAGCAGTGTGAGCGGCAGCAGCAGGAGGCAGCACTCTATTCCTGAGTCCCCAACACCAAGGGGCTGCTCATACCACCCTCGGAAGTGCTGCCTCCCTGCAGTGGGGCTAGACCATCCTGGGGGTGCTGCTGCAGCAGTGTAATTATACATAGAACATTCAGGATACCCATCCTCTAGATTCACAAGCCCAGTCAAGCAGAAACAACGAGACACCTCTCTCATCCATCACAGGATCTCAGCAATGGCAAAGGTTCTGTCAGGTGGCTCAGTAATGCACCGACCTACATTTTCTAAATCATCCTTAAGGAATTCAAAAGAATTATATTTAGATATCTTCAAAAGATTGAGAGACAGACCAAAGAAAACCCGGAAAAAACCCTAGAAGAATTTTGAAAGAAAATACAAGAATTAAATGACAAAATAAATGAAAAATTAGAAATGATTCTAAATCTACAGACAGAAATCCAGAAGATTAATACTAAATTGTCAGAAATAGATAACACATTGGAAGGGCAAAGAAGTAGAATTGATGCGATGGAAGACAGAATTAATGAGATTGAAGACAAATACTTGAATACTTCTTTGGAAAGGGAACAATCAGAAAAAAATTCAAAACAAAATAAATCATCCAGTGTTGCCAAATGAATCCATTGTCCTTGGTATTTTGCTGAATAATGAAAATACTCTCCAAGTTCTTAGAAAGTAAAAATTATGGCATGTAGATCCACCCATTAATTACTCAAATACTGTTCTAAGAGACTCTCAAACTGAGCAGTTATTGTAGCAATCTGAGCACTCTACCTAACAATGACTACTTTGCCTGCCTAACTGGACTAAAACCCATCTACATAATCAGCGTACCATTAGGCAATGACCTTACTGCTCTAGGGCAGTGGTGCTGCTCAGCCTGGCTGCTCCCCAGAACAGAGGAAAGTTTAAAATGCTGACACCCAGGCCTTGCCCCAGAGACTGAGGTGCTTGGACCAACTTCTGGACCTCAGTAGTTTTAAAGGCTCCCCAGGTGATTCTAACAGGCAGACAGGGTTGGGATCTATTGATCTTGTTCAGGATCAAAAACAGAATAGTTAAATTCAGTCAACTAGCTTGGCAATATTACACTGGCTTTTCATTTTTTAAAAGTAAGATAGTAGCCCTTTAGACACTAGCAAGATCTCTGGCTACAGAGCTAAGTCTAGCTGCAGTAGTTAATACATGCCAAATACTTAGAATAATCCCTCATACTCACCAAGCACTGGATGGGGGCTGGCTATGACTCTCTCTCTCTCTCTCTCTGTCCCTCAGGAAGACTTTCACTAGACTTCAGAATAGCAAACCTGCATCTGGGAGTTTCTATTTCTAGCAATCTTGCCTGTATGGATGGGTGTAAATGTGGCAGAGCATACTCACGTGCCTCTGTGCTCTGAAAGGCATGGATAAGCTGGGAAATGGTCCTTCCTAGTTCCTCCTGAGGGGAGACAATGGAAACCCCTCAGTCCCTGGAGACACAGGCTCTTATAATGACAGAGACAAACATGGTCCCTGCACATCCCCCTCATCACAGAGAACAGGCTACTGGGTCTCTCGGTCTAGGAGACCTGAGTTTTGCAAGTTTCATCCCCCTTCTATACAAGATCTCTTCCTACAGCTAAGGGCAAACAGAATTCCCCAACAATTCACTGTGGTAGCTGCCCTCACAACTGATGCTGTGCCCTGAACAGAGGCTGGTGGTCAAGGAAGGTGGGGAGCTCAGCCCCTGACCAGCAGCAAGAGGGCCACCCAGAGCACCAACAACTACTCATAGCCTGTTGGTGTCCCTGTGCCAGGAATCACCTCAAGCACATGCATAAAATGGAAGATTCCAGAGGCTCCCCCTGAGAGTTTCTAGTTTAGAGGGTATAGAATAAGGACTAAGAATCTGCATTTTAAATAAGTTCCCTTATCACCCAGGTGATTTTGGAGCATGGCCAACAACTCAC